AATTGCAAGTCTGGAAAGTGAGGAACCATTATATAATATTAGAGTATGGAGTAAAAGTAAGAACTTTAGATTAGTTACAAAGATTAAAGATATATGCAAGTCGAAGAACATTAAGCTATCATTAGTTAAAGGCAAAGTACATAGTAGAATATTATGAAACAAAAGAGTGGATAAGCTTACGAAAGAAGATGCATAGCAAATTAAAATTACAGATTTGAAGCTTGAGAAAAACTTGAGATTTTTATATACATTATTTTGAAAAGAAACAATAGTAGAAATACCAACAAAAAAATTTGTCAAGACATTAATGAACATAATGAATAGTGCTGAATGGTATTGCTCAAGTGCAACAAAAGAGTTAGAACCAGATGCAGAAGCACAATGTGATTGGAAACAGTTGTAGAAAGAAAATAGAAATTTAATAAAAAACAAGTGTAAATTGTTAGAAGAGAGCAAGAGAATCTTATTTAGAATTAAGTGCATTACTAATAGTTTGCCAGTGCTTAAGGTGTTAAAGAAGAGAGCACCAAACTTGTATGGTTCAGACTTATGTAAAGAGTGTAAAACAAAGGAAGAATCATCAAGACATTTGTTCATTTGCAAGAAATATAAGGGTTATTGGAATAATATCAAAGAGTTAGCATATTGGTTAGTATGAAAAAAGTTTGACAAATTAAACAAATGTAAGCTTACAAAACATGACTTAGAAAGAATATTAGTTGGCGAAACAGAAGTAGATAGAATTAAATATAGGAAGGCATACATACATGGGTTAGCAGTTGAGAGTATGTTTAAGAAGTTGTATGCTAAATAGATGTCACGTAAAGCTGTGAAGCAGAGTATTAGATTATATGTTAAAATTGTAGAAAAGATGTTCAGAGAAGAAATTTGGTAGTGAAGATGTAGAACAGTAGTTGAGTAGAAGAAAGAAAATAAAATAACAATGAAATTAAAATGAAAAAGAAACAAAACAGTTGAAAATAGTAAATGCAGTATAAAGAAAGTGAAAAGTAAAGAAACATTAGTAAATAAGGTCAAAGGAGAGAAATAAAAAGAAAGGGAAATAGAACAGAGGCAGTTGTTTATAAAAGGTGTGGATAAAATAATACAGAATAAAAATAGTCCATTCTGGTTCAGTTCTTGACAGAGCTGACAAAGTTTCCCAATCTAGGAATAGGTTGGTATGACAAGTCACATTTAAGTGCAGTCTCTGTACTTGAATGATGCTAGGCTTGCAATTGCAAAGATGGATTACTAGAAATAGATAATGTTTCAATTAGTAAAATTTTGTATTAAAGCTCCGACAAGGCTGTCAAAAAAAAAAAAAAAAATTATACAATCACTATATCAGTATATCTATTTATGCAAATTATTACATAAATTGTTTTTAATTTATTATTTACCTTGCGAAGTTATTATATTAGATTAACTGAAAAGAGATAACTCTGCCTAAAGATTTCTTTTTCACAATTCTTTACATAATTTAGCAAGAATTCCTGATCCAAAGTATAAGCAAGAAGTAATATTAAAATTTTTTGAATATATTTGATTAAAAAGAAGTAATAAACTTTTATAAAAGATTTTGTTATAAATAGTGTATTTCAAGTATTAATTAAAACTTTGTAATTTTGGATTTGCATCAAAGAAAGCTTTTCCTAATATTTTTTAAGTATTTGTAAATTAGAAATTAAATGATTTTTATTAAATTGTGGGTGAAGTAAAATTTGAATTAAAGTGTAATAAGCAGTTTTTACTTAAAAAAAAGAACAGATAATTAAAATTAATGTTTATATATTTCAAACCTACTAAATTTTATACTAAAATATTTATATATCATATATTCTACAACCTATATAAATATTGGCATAGTAGTGAAGTTTTCAAATATACCAAATTGTTTCTCTGAATTCCATATTAAAATTTGTCTTATCAAATGCTTCTGATGAACTGATGTAAGTTTTTTTATCATCAGAGTATTATTATCTGAATTGGTATTATAAAATATATTGTCATGTTCTATATCATTCTAGTTCAAATTATTTAGATTATTAACATTATTATTGTTATTAGGTTCATTATAATAAGATTCCAAATTTTCTATATTGGAGTTATAACCAAATTTCTGGTATTCATTTTTATGTTACTATATTTGGATCTTATTTAAATTTTCTTGCTGTAACTCATCATATTTATTTAATATTGAAATATTATCATAACTAAACATTTGATTATTTGTAGTTTTAGGTACTTTTAAGTAAAATTGTAAAGTTTCAAATTGGAAAAGCTACTGTTTAGACATATTTTAGTTTAAAATAGTTAAAAAAAATTTTTATATAAATTTTGTTATATATACCAACTTAACATGTAATGCATAAGGTGTGGCGACCTAGTGAAATGGTCAGGTTGTCAGTCTTCCAAGTGGTAGGTTGGATGTTCAAATCCTATCAACAGTGAAAATTTGGATAATCACCTATGTAATATTCATATTATAGCAACTGTTACTAACAGTTGTGTTAGGATACCTGTAATAGTGGTTACACCAGCATGACTGGCAGGTCATAGGGCATCTGTGCAATGTTAAAGTTATACAGAGGAATGCAAACCAATATATCAGGTAGTGCAAACACTAGATAAATCCTTGTGGCCATGTAAATCTGTTGAAATTGGGTAACAAGAAGTCCATTTGAGAAGATCTGAATAGAAAGGTAGCTGGATCGTCAATGGCCCTACTGTAAAGGCTAGCCTGATGAAACAAATATCTAGATCTAGTACACGGTCCTAGTAGCTGGACAGGCAAGAACCTTCAGGTTGAGAAGTCTCAGAGATACCATTAACCAAATCACTGGAACAAACCAAAGGAAAAAGATATTAGGCCAATCTGATATACCGATGGACTGGTTATAGTCCTATATAGGCTATCTGAATTGGGAATTTGGTAAAAGGGTAGGAGAAAAGGGTAGGAGAAAAGACAAAGGTATACTAAAGTACTGAGGTTATGCTATGAAGTAGATGCTGGAGTCTAAAAGAATATAGCAGTTTAATAGTTAGCCCTGACCGCAAGTATTGGTTCTGCTATAGCAATATCTAGATCAGCTGTAAAAATAGATACAGAAGGCTCTGAGGGGTTTATCTTGAGTATAAATTAGTCCTAAGGTTAAGACAATAATCTGGACATCTGGGTATGACTCAGTGATGTTAATACAGGTTACAGGTTCAAAGGGTTTAAAGTGAAACACCCAAGCAGGAGTGTTATGTATAACAATTGATAGAGAACCTTCAGGCAGACTCCTTAAATAGGTAATATAGAAAAGTTACATATGTAACCAATTGTACATTCTTCTGTAGTAGTTCATTGAACCATAATACCAATAAGTAATTAATAAAAGTCAAAAGACCAAAGAGGTCACCTTAAAAAAAAAAAAAAAAAAAAAACACATGATGCATGTGATAAAATAGTATAATTTTGATTGGTCAATATTAATACCAATACATACTGGTACTATATAATAATAATAGAATTGAACTGATTATATATGCAATAAAAAAATTAGTATGCAATTACTTATTTTCTGTTAATATAAAAACAAAACTTTAGCAAAGCTTTTTTTACTAAATATGACAAAAACTAGAAATAGAAACCTTACAAATACTAGAAGAGCAAAAAAAAAAATTATTAGTAAGTACTTATAAAGACTTTAAACAATTACTCATAATAATATATAATATTGTTATTACTTTTAGAATCTTCTGATAAAGAAATTTCTAAATGACAACTGATATTTAATAAATATTTTAAAAAAACGATTTATGAAAATTATAATTTTTTTTTTATAAATTGTATTCAGATTAAATATTTACTTATTCTTTTTTTTAAAAAAATATATATATTTATTTATTTTATAACTTATATTTATTTTTTATTAGACAAATCTAATAAACATACCTATGCTTTATTTGAGCTGATTAATTTAAATAATATTGTATTAATACCATCTAATAATGTATTCTAACAAAGTCAAGACTCTTATAACCATAATGATTATTCATTAAGCTATACAAACAATTCAAAAACAGTATATAATCTTGATTTACAATTAATCCATAATACTGATTATATGTCATCAAATATTCCAATTTGATCAAATTTTAATCCAAACTTGACTTATAATACTTATTTATTAAGCCAAAATACTAACAAATCACAAGTCTTATTTAAAAATACAAATAATTCTGCAGATAGATCCATGATTTATAGAAATTCTATTATGATAGAGCAATAACATAAAAGTTTGTCATAGGTAATCACTATGTCATTAGATGATATATCAGATTTATATTCTTCATCTTATCAAGATAAAGATTCTTCATAGCAACAAAATATGTATAATAATTATAAGAAAAATGATTTAAGATCAAATCAATGATCTTAGCATGCATTACATCTATTAGCAAATTCTTATAATATAGTTATTTGACAACTAGAAGATAATTTGCAAGAGTTAACTTTTTCAGATAAATAATTGTTAGTTAATTGGTTATGCATACAGCCAGATTTGATTACTTAAGTACAAAATCTATCAACAACATCTTTATCACATAAGGTTTGTTTAACTATGCTTTAGTCAATTTATAACATATATATTAATTCCATTCTAAAACAATACAATCTTTATTAGATTGAAGCTATTATCTCTGAGCCAACCGATAAGAAACTATAATAAACCTAGTAATGGAACAATGCAAGCTTATGTTTCTTTACACATGAAATCCCAATAAAAAATATGTGAAACACTAATTAAAAAGATTGTTCCATCAATGGATTCAGTATCTAAAGAATTTAATACATTATATCAAAAAACACATGAATATTTTGACAATTTTTAGCATACATTTAATAAGAATATAACAAGAATTTTCTTATTAAAAATTGGTACATACTTAAATACTACCAGGCCTACTATTTTTTTTTTTTTATATACCTTTGACAATATTGCCACAGAATGCCATGGTGTCTAATTTATCCAAGCCTACTATTTAATATTTTGTATTGCTTTTTTTTATCTGGTTAGGTAAATATTGGTATTAATATATTAATATTATTTTTAATATATAAATAAAACTATTGTTATCTTTTATAGTGATCCAATTGATGAAAATATCAAACAATTTGTTACTGGTAAAGTCTGGTGACAAAAACTTATCAAGTACCTCAATGCTAGTGATTTCTCAGAGTTTAAAGGATCTCAATCTTTGCTTAAGTCTCTTGAAAACTTTATTGCTAAAAGTTTGAAGATTCACGTTGATTATCTGATTGCAATTCGTAATCAAGAAAAGCCATCTTACAGTGAAGATGTCTTGAAGAAAATCAAGAAGCTTAATCAACTCACTTTTCATTTAACTATTCCATCAACAAGTTGACGAAATTGTGTAAATGAATTAGATTTTAATTATACGGGTATAGAGTCTTCAGATAATGAATAATATTCTATTATATTAGATAGTAGTGACCGTATAGATTGTGATAAGAACAAATTAGCAGATTTTTTATTATGAACATTCTCTAACATAGCAGTTATTTATTTCAATTAGTAAAATAGAATACATCGCTCTTATGAATTAATTATTCATATATTTAATTATTGTCTATTGATTTATGCATTATAAATTCGGCTGCACAAATTCTCATTATATGAATTTCGCTAGCAAAAAAAGTAACTTTAGTTTTAGTTTATTAACTAGAAACTAAATAATTTTTTATCGATTTGAATCTTTAATGTGATCTATATAATTAACATTTATAAATTTTTTTGCGTACATAACAAATGGTTAGTAAGTGCAAAGTTTACAGTGATGTATATGCGTGTATTACTATTATAAGGTTTTTCTCATTTTCAGTGAGTTCAGAAGTCAATTTCATAAAACATAAAGTTAATTGTGGCAAAACAAGGTATAATGCCATTCATGCTAAGAATGCAGTCGACTATAGAGTAGTACTAAAAAAAAAAGAATTAATTTTATAATATAAATAGGTTAAAAATCAATCTGGCCATGTTTTATTATTCATATTTTTATTTGTACAATCTAACGCATTTTATTTCATTAGAATAGTCTCTAATTTTTTTCAAATCAATAATGATCCTTGTAACAGCGTTTCTAAATTCTATAATAGATCGTGTAGTCCGTAGAAATTTTTGGCAAACTGCGACAATTGTTAAAAGCCTAATACAAACATTTATAACTATCTAGTAAAGGGCTAGTAAGAAACTATATTTTAGATTTAATATAAAAATTTTATTTGTCATTCTTATATTATCCTATTATATCGCTAAACTTTGCTAGATATATAATATTTTAATGCTATCGCAAAAATGTAAGATTTCCGTAAAGTAATTTATTAAACTAATAATTTAAACTCTAAGTTTGAAAGCCTTATGACATGAAATTTAAATTATAGTCAGCTCACAATATATGGAATAACTCAAAATCCAGAAACAAACGAATGCTTTATGCCATTTCAGTATGCTGACAATGGAAGTCTTCGTAAATATTTAACAAAAAATTTTAGTAAACTCACATGGCAGTCTAAATTACAAATACTTAGAGATATTTCGCAGGAGTTATATTGTATTCATGATTTTGCAAACTACGTTCATGCAGATTTTCATAGTGGTAATATTTTGCAAGACTAACATAATAATAAAAATACAAAATCTTATATCGCAGATCTAGGATTATCTAAAAAGAAGGATGAATTCTCTTCAAAAGACGTGATTTATGGAGTAATGCCTGGAGTTGCCTTTTCGCCTTTCACTGTGGGTTTCGCCTTTCACTGGGGTTTCGTCTTTCGTCAGGGGTTTTCGTCTTTCGTCAGGGGTTTCGTCTTTTGTCAGGGGCTTCGTCTTTCGTCAGGGGTTTCGTCTTTCGTCAAAGTTTCGTCAGTTTCGTCTTTCGCCGGGTTTAGGTTTCATCTTTCGTCATTTCTCAAAAACAGTTTCGTCTAACAACTATAATCCGGACAATCAAGATATTTTGTGTGTGGCTACAAAGCACAGTATGTGGCTTATATAAAAAATGTACAAAAGCAATAAACAAAGTAATAGCGATAGCCTTTCAGTTTCATTTGGGTGCTATTAAAAAAAAACTAGACTTCAGGCTTTTGAGCTTATAATAAATCATTCAGCCTAATCCTGTTTTCTTTTGGTAGCGCTTATCTATGTATTAATATTAAGGGAATTTACACATAAGGGCCCAAAAATGAAAATAATTACAGATGAAGACCCAAGATAAAAATTCTTACACATAGCAGCCCAAAATCAAAAATTATTACAAATAAGGGCCTGTCCAATCTCCGAGCTATACTAGACGACTAAGTTATAAAACTTACATAGTGTTGCCCAGAAAAAAGGTAGCCGAATTAAAATAATTATACAATGTCGCCACTAAAATGCAATTAATTTTTTTACAAGAAAAAACTAAAGGTACTGTACTCTTTACAAACCTCGCTAACAAACTTATAACTTTACGAATTTTAATGCATTGATTAAATGATTTTTATTCATAACTAAATAACACGAATAAAAGATATAATACGCCGTAGTCATTTTGGACATTAAAATTCTTTGTATTTACTAGATAAATTAACTAATAAATAAAAAGTAAAGTACGAAATATTCATGAACTTAAATAGCTTATTTAAGCGATCGATCAAAATTATATTTTTGTGAATTCAACACGGCAAAAATTCTCAAAGTAAAAATGAAAGTCACAACGAAAGTCAAAGAGAAGGTCAAAGTCAAACGAAATTCATATTGAAAGCCAAAATGTAAGTTAAAGTGAAAGTCAAAGTAAAGGAGAGTCATTGTCAAAACGAAAATTAAAGTGAAGCCAAAGTGAGAGTCAAATGAAAATCAAAGTAAACTCAACCCGAAAATCAAAGTAAACTCAAAACGAAAACCAAAGTAAACTCAAAACGAAAACCAAGTAAAAGGTCAAAAGTACCAAAGGCTTCATTTCTCCCGGATTTTTTTAAAATTGCTAAGAGCTTTGTCTTCTACCAATGAGATTCCTTTTTAGGAGTAACACTATAGATTGAGGCTGGCAATAATAATACTATTTATTCTTGTTTACGTAATGAAGATATGATTAGATACTGTAAATGTCCAAAACCAAGAACAGAAATATTTGATAACAAAGTTGTTATTTTAACATAGTATTTATGCCGCAATATCCGTAATATCCGTAATATGTGGAATAATAAATAAATTTTGACTTATAATATAAAAAGATTAAAATAAACGAGTAATTTCAAGTTTGTTTAATAAATATTCAAACTTATGTCAGTATTTATTATTATGAGAAAGATTTCAAATGTCTAACAACATAAGAACTACACAACTGTGAGTAATTTTTGGTGTTTTTATTTTAAGATTTCAAGTAAGAATTTTATCATTTTGCGCATGTACCCATAAGATTAGGTGTAACGTGAAATCAAAAACATTCCAATTAACGCATTAACTTAGGGTAAAGGTAAAAATTAAAATAGGTCAGAATTAAGTAATAGTAAAAGCTATTTTTGTACCAAAATTTTGCAAGAAATTTTTTTTTATTAGAACGCGAAAAGTGGTTTTATGAGAAAATTATGAACTACAAGCAATTTTTAGAAAATTCGTTATTTTCTTTCGATTTCACATTACAAGAGTACAACTAAATAACATAAGCCTTGAAATAAATATTGGTATAAATATTGGTATAAATATTGGTATAAATATTTACAGGGCAAACCTAAGAAACCTGACGAAACCTGAAGAAACGCGCGGTTTCTACAATAATTATCATTGTAAAGATAGCTACATCAGAATTAATAATTCCAGTCAAATTCTATATGTTTTAATTACATGGCTTAGACGTGACTTAACCGCTAATTTCAATTATTTCCAATGGGGTTTTAGAATTACATTTTTGAAAATAGCTTAAAATTCCGACTCAGAGAATTAAATAGGCGCACACTTTAATAAAATTGGCCTTTTTTTTTTGTATGCTTATACGTTAAAAAAAAAAAAAGATTTATGGATCACATATTTTGAAGTAAATACGTCATTTATCTGTGACAGAAAAACTCAAAGTACTAATTATAAAATTACATGTTTAGAGACCTAATTCGGCGAGTCTGTCGCTAATCGAAGGTCGGCTTCGTGTAACGTTCGGACGGCTTTCGGTCGAAAGAGGCGT